CGGGTTGGCGGGTTGAAATAGTTGGCCCGGCCCGCCAATTTTTGGCAGGCCAACGGGCCGGCCCGCGGGCCACGGCCCACTTTGCCATCCCTATATATGATATGTATGAAAGGGTTTGTAATGAATAGGAGCTTTATATAAGGATTGGTGTACCCTTTATACTCCATATATAATATGGTATAGTTGACAGATAACCTAATTAATGTTTAAGTCTATAATTAAGAGTACTATCCCCTAAATTAACCAAATGATTAAGTTGCAAACTCAGTCTGAAAACCATTGTACTAGCTAATACATTGGTTCTTCGCTATCACTTATTAACAATCTTAGTCAGTACTAGATGTCATCCTGAGTTCCTTATAAACACTTTTCTGAGCAAGATTAGCAGTAGCTGGAACAGATGAGTGGATGAGTTCCTCTCAGTTAAGAAATATCTCAAAATCCACAAGTTTATCAAACAATTCATCATACTGTAGAAGTGAATCACGAGTATGGATAGAAGCATTTAATTCACAGAATGTTGGTCCAAGACCATTGAGTGCAACGATAACAAGATCAATGTCATCCACTGGATTCCCAATGAGGGCAAGCTCATCAGCAATTGAGCGTATATTATGTAGGTAATCATGGCATAGGCTTTTTGCAATTTCTGCCATGCATTAGTAGAGAAAGTCGCAAAGGACACAAAAATTTGTGGGTCTGGACTGCAGGAACCTGAAAAAGTAAGAGACACATGGCTGTCTTAGCGACACCAAAATTTGTAGGTCGGATTAGGTTGAGCTGCATCACCAGAACTAGTTGTTTTGGAAGGACAAGGCGTGTCTCCATTGACATAGCCTTCTAAATTGTTGGCTTGAAGAAGATGCATGATTTGTTTATACCATGTAGAAAAGTATAATTGGATGTTTCCAATTATTCTCAAATGAGGACAAATACATCAAATAATAGAGTTAGTCTCTAACTGAATGAGTTAGTCTAATAGCAATTCTGTTAGACTATTAAAATCTTGTTAGGATAACAATTCTATTTAAGATAACAAGGAATTTGTTGGTTAGCTAAGAGATAACTCCTATAGCTATGAGGTTTCTATAGCCTCCTCATTGCAACGTTTTTTTAAGTCCCATCCGAATGAATTTTATAAAAAGTTTAATTTTGATAATATAGTAATTTACTATATTATTTTATTATGATATAAGGGGAGAAAAAAGAAGGGATCTGGTTTAATTTTGTGGAGAAACATGGGAGATGATATGCAATTACTTTATGCGATTGGAATTTTAAAGGATTTTAAAAGATTTATTTTATAGCAAGATGTACCTCCTTCTCATTCAAAAGATGAGTTAATAGGTTAAAGTTTGGTGTAAGAGGGGGAAAGTTGTGGTTCCATGTATGGTGCATTTAAATCAAAATTAGGTTGAAAAGGATAATACCCATCAAAGTAAAAGTTTGGTTGAAAACATAGAGGCTTGGGAATATCCTCCAATGTTGCATATACCTCGACACATCCAAGACTATTGTAATTGTCTTTTGAAAAAAATATCATTTAGATGTCTTCGTCATCTCTAAGGAGCATCAACCCATAGTTAACATAAGAATCTTTAACGAATAATCGGTGGCAAAAATAAACATCAGCAACCCTTTGGGTAGGAGCAATTTAGATTCGTTGTTGAATCTTATGTTTCAACTCTTCTAATGAAAAACCTCGTTTCACGACTATCGACATTGGTCAAAGGCATCTATTTGAACTTCAATCCTCCAAAAGTAAGCTTTCTAGTCCAGAGCCCTTCTCTCTAGAACTTCTCTCTAAAACCTCCCTTTCTCCTCAACTGCCCACAAGTCCTATTTATAGAAATCTAAAACGACCAGAACGGCCCGTTTCGAATCCGAAACGGCCCGTTCTGGGCTCCTTCATCATGTGTAAAATTCACATACAAAATGACCCGTTCTGAAACCAGAATAGCCCGTTCTGACACGTCTAGAACGGCCTGTTCTCAAACTAGAATGGCCCGTTCTGGAGTTGAATTTGACTCACAATGACCATTTTGGAACGGCCCGCTCCAGTTCAAGATTCGTAGGCCTATTTAGTAGTTTGGAACGGCCCGTTCCAGTCTGGGAACAACCCATTCTGGATCACTCATTGGCGCCTTCCATTCAAGAATTTTGATTGCTTTAGAGGGGCAAGTTGGTTCAATAGAAGGTGGCAAAGGAAACCGACTGATAGCATTGACTTGCTTGGGCTTGAAAATACCATTCTTTGATCGAGTCACCATTGGATGATGGGAAGTGACTTTGTTCGAGGGAGTTTCTGTTTCTGAAGAAGTAGGAGAGGACACATGATTTTCAGGGTTGAGTTCTATTTGGGAAGTGAGGATATTTGGTGATTGGCTTGAAATGAGGTGGAAATGTTTTGTTGAGAGATATTTAGGGAGGGAGTCGGTGGTGCCGAAAGGTTTGGTAGCTGATTTGTTGGAGGGGAGAGTTTATGGCAGGTTTGGATTTGAATAGTTCAAAATTTGTTGCAACTAAATGGTTTGAGTTTAAGATTGATGAAAGGGATGAATTAGTGGGTGGTGGGACTAGGAATGGAAATATGTCTTCAACAAATTGAACATGACGATAGGTGTACAACTTGTGAGTAATTAAGCTATAGCAGTAATATGCACTTTGTGACAAACTGTAACCAAGGAAGACACAGGGTTGTGATTTGGGTTCAAGTTTATTTGAATTATATGGTGCTAGCCAAGGGTAGCAAATGCAACCAAAAGTTCTGAGTTTCGTGTAGTTTGGAGATTGATTAAAAAGCTTTTGAAGTGGAGATTCCATTTTTAAGTTTGGAGTAGGAAGTCTATTTATTAAATAGGTTGCAGTTTGTAGGGCATAGGACCATAACTTTTGTGGGAGAGAGGCATGGTGAAGGAGGCATCAAGCGGTTTCAACCAAATGACAGTGTTTTCTTTCTGAGAGACCATTATGTTTAGGAGTGTATGGTGGTGTGGTTAAGTGAGAGATGCCATTTTGTTGGAGAAAAAGCCTTAGTTTAATATATTCTCCTCCATTGTCAGAATATATTGTTTTGATTTTAGTATTAAGTTGGTTCTCAACTAGAGACTTAAATACTAGAAAAATAGTATAGACATCTAACTTGTGTTTCAAAGGATACAACAACACATACTTTGAAAAATGATCTATGAAAATAACATAATAAAAATGACCATTTATTGATTGAATCGAGGTTGGTCCCCACACATCAGAATAAACAAGTTCAAGTGGTTTATTGCTAGACAAAGATGATTTATGAAAACAAAGCTTATGACTTTTATTTTGGAGATAATCAGTGCACTTTTTATTTAAAGACACAAAGGGTAAGTTGTTGGTTTTAAGATCACAATGAAAGACACAATTGTTAGGATGGCCTAGGCGATGGTGCCATAGATGAATGGGTGAGGACTTGAAAACATGATGGATGGTGGTGACAGACTTGTGGTTGGGTAGTTTGTAAAGGTGGTCCTCATTCCTTCCTCGCAACAAAATCTCCATCGTTGTCAAATCCTTGACCTTGAAATGAGAAGGAAAGAATTCAATGGTCACAACATTAGTTGACACAATTGTGATACTGAAACAGGATTCTATGTGATGTGTGAAACATATAAAACACCAGATAAATGAAGTGGTTTGGAATTTTTAGGAGGATAAGTAGAACCATAGGATTTAATAGGTAAAGACTTACCATCAACTACTAGAAGATGATCACGTTCAATAGCATCATGAGATATATTAAGATTGGCTAAGTCATGAGTAACATGATGAGAGGCTCTTGAATCAAGTAGCTAAGTAGAATTAACATTGGCAAATTTTTGAACATGATATCTAGAAAATGATTTGCTTGTACGATTGAGTTGCCTTTGTAATTTGAAACATTGCTTTGCATTGTGACAACGTTTGTCATAGAATTGGCACACCATAATATTTTTTGCTGAGTCAGAGGTAGCTTTACGGGGTATTGCAAGTTGTATTCTTGGAAACCTTCCTCAATGAGAAGGCATGGAGCTTTTCTGAGCAAGATTAGCAGTAGCTGGAACAGATGAGTGGATGAGTTCCTCTCAGTTAAGAAATATCTCAAAATCCACAAGTTTATCAAACAATTCATCATACTGTAGAAGTGAATCACGAGTATGGATAGAAGCATTTAATTCACAGAATGTTGGTCCAAGACCATTGAGTGCAACGATAACAAGATCAATGTCATCCACTGGATTCCCAATGAGGGCAAGCTCATCAGCAATTGAGCGTATATTATGTAGGTAATCATGGCATAGGCTTTTTGCAATTTCTGCCATGCATTAGTAGAGAAAGTCGCAAAGGACACAAAAATTTGTGGGTCTGGACTGCAGGAACCTGAAAAAGTAAGAGACACATGGCTGTCTTAGCGACACCAAAATTTGTAGGTCGGATTAGGTTGAGCTGCATCACCAGAACTAGTTGTTTTGGAAGGACAAGGCGTGTCTCCATTGACATAGCCTTCTAAATTGTTGGCTTGAAGAAGATGCATGATTTGTTTATACCATGTAGAAAAGTATAATTGGATGTTTCCAATTATTCTCAAATGAGGACAAATACATCAAATAATAGAGTTAGTCTCTAACTGAATGAGTTAGTCTAATAGCAATTCTGTTAGACTATTAAAATCTTGTTAGGATAACAATTCTATTTAAGATAACAAGGAATTTGTTGGTTAGCTAAGAGATAACTCCTATAGCTATGAGGTTTCTCATCAGCAATTGAGCGTATATTATGTAGGTAATCATGGCATAGGCTTTTTGCAATTTCTGCCATGCATTAGTAGAGAAAGTCGCAAAGGACACAAAAATTTGTGGGTCTGGACTGCAGGAACCTGAAAAAGTAAGAGACACATGGCTGTCTTAGCGACACCAAAATTTGTAGGTCGGATTAGGTTGAGCTGCATCACCAGAACTAGTTGTTTTGGAAGGACAAGGCGTGTCTCCATTGACATAGCCTTCTAAATTGTTGGCTTGAAGAAGATGCATGATTTGTTTATACCATGTAGAAAAGTATAATTGGATGTTTCCAATTATTCTCAAATGAGGACAAATACATCAAATAATAGAGTTAGTCTCTAACTGAATGAGTTAGTCTAATAGCAATTCTGTTAGACTATTAAAATCTTGTTAGGATAACAATTCTATTTAAGATAACAAGGAATTTGTTGGTTAGCTAAGAGATAACTCCTATAGCTATGAGGTTTCTATAGCCTCCTCATTGCAACGTTTTTTTAAGTCCCATCCGAATTAGATGGGTTGGATCGGATTCTGACCGGGACGGTACAACTTACAATGAGGGGGAAAAAAAGGCCAAAATCAAAGTCTCAACACACCTTTAATTTGCAAATTGTCTTCAGAATCTCATTTTTTTATTGATTGACAATTTGTCATTCATTCCTATATAAAAAATGAAACAATAATAAGAGTTTACAAAGAGTAACTAATGTCCAAGGTAGAGCAATATGTAAATCGTGAGATTCAATTTCTATACGTCAATATATATCGTATAGCTGGAAATTAACTTACAAAACCGTTTATAATAATAATCCTCTTTTCCCTGTCACGGATTTTGTGACAAAAGAAGCAGATTTAAAAGG